CAATTCTGTAAGACGGTATATTCAAGAACGGCTCGTTCATGGAATGTATAGAAGAGGATTCGCAGTAAATAGTGGCACAGATCCTGTCGAGATCGAAGGCGAGATGTTTAGATTTTTTATAGAGAACCTGAAACGGCCTTTGCCAGAACTTTTGCCGCACCCTGTACATTGTCCTGAAGACGACTGGAGGCATCACTGGCGTGAATGAACAAATCGATGTACAAGAGGACGACACAGGTGGTATTGAAATGGAGTTGGAACTGACACTAGTCTTCTTACGAGGAGAATAACAAAATGAATTGCCAGACTTTGATCTTTGTCGTGCCGGCTCAACAAATTCAGCTCCCAATGAAGGTCATAGAGGGCACCATTACGTTTTTCAACTATGCAGATTGTTGCTAATCAAACCATCACACAAGGGAGTAATTTACTTTGAACCGATTTCGTCTTTTTTTAATTGCCGTTGAAAATATGGGAAGCTTGAACGGCCTAATTTGTGGCTCGGACGAGTTGGATTCAGGAGTCGGTCTCTGAGAGAAAGAATGCTAACTATCAATGAGAATAAACTGGTCATGCTGTGTCTTACCGTAACCACATATGAGGCTTCATTGCGCATGTACGCGTTGTTTCCAATGGCACCAAGCCAGTCTGTAGAGCATTCAAGTAGAGATGATAACGAAAGTAGCCCAGCAGGCTCAGTGAAATACAGTTTGTCATATCGCCAAACGCCAATGACACTAATAACTGTAATGACATCCATAATTCGATAAACATTTATCAGTTTATCGTACCCACCCTGAGTTCGGCACAAAGTTTCGGTGATCTGAGCAGGACATAGATGAGTACGACGTTTATGATAGCACACAGCATGCCCATGATAAACAAAATCAGATAGGCAGACAAGCCTTGACGCATCATTTTGATGTCGATTGCTGGAGCAGGAACCATTTGTTCCGTAGCTAAGTTTATGATCGAGTCCGGCTCCATGCTTCTAATTTTGTCGCAAGGTTTTCGTTGCTATACTGAAATGAACATCAAGAAATTACAAAT